CACCTTATGCAATCTGGGCGACTGCTCTAACCACTGAGCTACTCAGAACCAAACAGGACTGCCGAATTTTTCTAGCACATAAACTTGCAAGTTTTTTATTTTATTTCAATTAATGCTTATCTCATCGTGTATGATATAAGAAAAGATTTGCGAAGCTCGTCTGTTGTAACTGTGAGTAGATATTATATAATGATGATATTGGCGCCCCCCTGACACTGGTGCCCAGCCACACTCCCTAGATCCGGGCCTGCCTGATGACGGAGCTTTCAGAGGTTCATTTTGACGGATCAATCAGAATTTCAGTTACGCGGTCGAGCTTTTGTACAATTATAGAAAATTCCGTGCTGCATATATGTAAGTCACAGGATCAAGTGTCATTGACACATTGGAGCCACAGTCACGTGCGACTCTCATAAAAGGTAAAATAAAATTATTTGATCAGTGTAATCAGTGCTCTTTTTACTATAATTCGTTGCTGTTGATTACAATGCCGAATGAAGACAGAGCGGGGCCTGTATTTTTTTAAACAGCCCCAAAACATAAAAGTTGTCTTTTGCTTTCCGAATAACACAATACAATTAATCGTAACTTGAGTTTTATTTATCAGTTTAAGTTTATATTTTAAAATATTTAATTTCTTGCATTTTAAATAATTATTGGTTCTGAACAATAGCGAGGCTCCAACTGCGCGGGGCTCCAAAGTGTGGCTAATCTGGCCCTGGTTGATTATCAATTATTTTTCCAAATACTTCTAACCATAAAGTATAGAAAATCTCTGATATACGTACAACCACGCGGACCGCCTACGATCTCGTAGCTCGAACATACTGGTGCAACTTTATATCACTATAGGTCTGTTGCACAAACGTCCATTAAGGTTTAATTCAATTATTTGACATTCATTAGAGCCTTTAAGCTCTAATGAATGTCAAATTTGTATGGGTATTGTCGCTTTAAACTAATGCATATTTTAATGGACGTTTATGCAACTAGCTGTATAGCAAGTAATTGTTTAGGACCGCATAAATTGTCTTGACGTAGTTCTTTTCTGTAGATCGTGTATAATAATTAATAACCTATTAGTACAAACTTACACTGTAGACAGAAATAAAAAGAAACATTGTTATTAATAACATTTATTATTATTAAAGTAAAAATATCTTTCGAACATCGGCCGACTACTATCCACATCCACGACACAAATCATTCTACCTACGCAAATGAACAAAACAAATGTCATTTTGTTCTTATTTCTATATTTTAATCTAAAATTTTACAATAAACTTACTTCAATACTAATAGGTATATATTTTATATACAATTACATAAATGGGACAACAATATTTTTGAAAGTTGTGAAATTATGAGTTTTGCACTGACCATTGTAAATATGATAGTGACTATACAAAGGTATTCTCTTTTTGTGGTCTTTAATATACTATTACCAATAATTATGTTTTTTATATATATATATAATATTATTTAAATAAATTTTGAAAAAGAAAAACAAATGTTTTATACTCGTTGACACGTGGACGCAAACCGCGCGTGACGTCACGCCCCTCATACTCGTATCAGAACATACGGCCGGTTTCTGCATCGAGTAAAGTACAAATTTTAACTGATTATTCTCAATAACTTAAGTTTTTTTTTTTTAAGTTTCACAAGGCAAAATGTCATAGTTTTATCAAAAAGAATCTGAGACGAAAACCTGTTTACGTGATGTTAAAGTAAACCACCTTTACGGTACGGTAGTACGGTTAGAGATGTATTTAACTTTAAATTCTCAATTCAGAAACCGGATGTTAGAGAATTAAACCTTATGCATTCATAGAACGGGATTCGTTTAAGAGGGGTGTGACGTCACAGCAACGCCATGAGAAGATGGCGTTTTCGCGGGAAATTCTGATTATTAAATTTACATTTAAACTTTTTATATGAATGATAGATACTATAAAATAAAAATATTTAAAAAAAGTTGTCTACACCCCTACTAGGCTACTTGGTAATAATTCTATTGCACAATCTAGAGCATAAGCTTGGACCCTGTCATGCAGCTTTTTCAATTCTGTCCAAAATAAATAACAAAAGTAAACTTGTTATATTATAGCCAGTATACAGGAGTATAAAATCTATTTATTATTCTAACTAATACTTTGATTAGTTACATGTAAGCGTAGTCACGTGTTGCTCTAGAATAACATTGAAATAAAACCAAATGTATTTATTTAGGCTGTCGAAAACTGAGGTATACATAATACATCTACATTTTCGCCCGATCTAAGTTATTCCATCATTCATTTCCACAACTGCGAATGCTGTTTATGTAAGACGAAATCAGTCCCGTTACATTCAGTATAAATAATTCAAAAAAATTTTTTTTTGGAAATCGATTGTTTTTTTATTATAGGGACATTAACCTATATTTCATTCCTTAGCTTTTCACAGCTTTTCAGCTAAATTGAGAACTGCAAACCGACGTTTTCTAGAATCGCGTAGTTTTTACTGGATACGAATACTTTCCATGGTTAATTTATAAAATCTTTTAATAACTCAGTATTGATGCAATGGATTCAAAGTATTCCTATGACAATAATAATTTAACCCTTCTTTTTTTTTCATTGTAAGTACATAATAATAGTAACTCATAAGTAAATTGTTCCGAAACTGCCATTACTCCTATGGATTTGAAATCTCGATGCGCTGGCAGTTATATTCAAAATCGAGTGTAGAAATATTAAATTTTGTCACGGCAAAATTATAAATTTCGTCAGTTTGAAATGTAACTAGATTATAAAAATTTTTAAAGAATATATATTTTTTTAATAAGTGAAAAATTAAAACAAATTGTTTAAAATAATAAAAATAGTAATTTATTATTACTAACTTAATAACTAAAAATGCTTGAATTTTATGAACAAACAAAACATACATGCACAAATAAAATCTTAAACTTCTTGCAGATCAGAAAAGTTTAAACTCCTCGAAAACACTAATACTCTGACCCGGCGTACCCAATCATGAGCGTGCCAAAGTTCTGGACCAAGGGGGTGCCAATGAGAGTTTAAGTCTGTCAACTTCTATCATCAACAGAAGACAATAAGAATAAATCGAACGAATTAAGTTAAGGCCTCTTCTATTTGTCCTTGAACAAAAATTCAGATCGTTTATATATATATTTAATCTTTCAAAATCTGCATAAGATACAATGGAAAATTATCGCAAAATAAGTTTCTTTAGAGTTTTATTAACATTTCTAAAATACAAGGAACTCGTTTTAGAAATGCTTATAGGTGTTATGTTCATTCGAACGAGTAGTATGTGTACAAAATCCACTCTGCCAATGAAAATTCATATTTTATAGAAAATATTTTGAATAATCTACATTATTTACAGCCAGTTGCACAAACGTTCATTAAAATTTACATCAGTTTAAACTGACATTACTCTTCAAATTAATTAGGCGTCATTAAACCTTAATGGACGTTTCCGCAACTGACCCGTACCACAGTCCAGCTATTCGCTTCAGCGTTAAATGGACGATAATAAGCAACAACCCACAAGTTTCTTTCTGAAATATTTATATACTATAATAATAGCTTAAAATTTTAGCAAAAGAACTTTCAAGTGATATGAACGAAAAGAGTATAAAAAAAATATGATAAACAAATCATTAATACATCCTTAGAGGCAATTGTCTCTAAACGCCTGTGAGGGTTGAAACATTATTGCTTATCGGCATCCAAATTTGGTACGCAAATTTACGACAATAATTCATAGCAAAGAAATATTTCCAATGCGTAACATTTGAATGTTTCATTGGTTAACAGCACCAAAAACGACAAAGTAATAATTCTAGATCTGGCAACCGTATTTTATTTTACAATCGAAGTACCTACATTTATTTTTACAATAAGAAATCAATAATGGAAACCCAAAAAAACAAATTTTAAAAAGACGATCGAGTATAATGATAAAACTTAGTTCATGAGGTAACATTAATAAATAGCGATCGTATAATAAGATCAAATGAATTTTGAATTAGTCTCAATAAAATAGGTATAATAAAAATATTTTTTTCTCTGAAATTTCTTCTGTTTTTTGAATTACATAACACGATTGATAAATTACCAATAGCTGAGGGAGAACACACAGCGACACAAAGTTACAACAATACGTTAAAGTATGAAAATTTTTAATTCTATTTCTAAAACGTTAAGGTTTAGAATTTAAGTTTACTTTAATTTAATTTTTATACAATTATTAAGTCAGTTTTATAAAACAATAATCAAATTTTTAATTCTATTTCCTTATGGATTTATCATAATAAAACGATAAAATGGTCTAGATTATGTATAAAAATTCATTTACATAGTTAATTTCTACTTTTATGAATCAATTTTTTGTGATAAAAAAAAAAATTAATGGCCGAACGAGAGTCGCTTCTTAATTTTAATTGAACGCAATGTATTACTTCAGTCATTTCATACTAATAGGTGCAGATTTTAAAATATGTTTTTATGACTTTTCGTAACCCTTAAACTCTTGGCAATAAAGTAATGACACAGCCAACCGGTTATTGGCTAGCCTTTTGATTGAAAGTCGTTATTTTACAACTAGAGGTTTAATAGCTTGTGGGCTTATTTAATTTATTGTATTTTATTTACTTAAGAAAACACATTTGAGTAATTTTTTCATTTCATGCAATGATAAAAAACTTGCGCCATATTATAAACGAAACTAAATTAACTCGCGGTAGTGGAGTTACGTAATGATTCAACTTCATACCGGGTTTTCGGTTAGCCGGTTCGTTAAACAATTAAAAACTAGGCGTGTAATTGAGCGGCGTCATACAATCGAAGGGCTAGTCGTACAATTAAACAACTACTTTAACCAGTTGTCTTATAACGTGTTACATATTTTCCGAACTGATAATTGTCGCTTCAGTCTGTGCGTACATAACACGACATAATATCAAAGTTTACTCTAACGAGTACTCACTCATTGCTTGTATTTTATTAAATAAGAAAAGTAAAGGAAAATATATTCTATTTATTTACACAGTGTATATATTTATGGATATTGCGTATAATACGAGATGTGCTATCATCAGTAGTATGAGCGGAAGTTGCGATTGGGTTTGAATCCGCCGCCGCCCGGCGACGAGTTCAGGAACAGTTCGATGTAGCGATGGTCCATGTGGTTTTTGTCGCGGCGCATCGCCTGTTTATAATAATAATAAATCTTTATTTCAGACCCAGTGATCCATATTAAATTACAAATTACAGAAATATTATTACAAATAAAAATATTACATAGTTATAATATGGCTTTCTATTACATAGATTCAGGTGGCAATATCCAACCATCCTCTATATGTTACAGTTTGCACAAGTCTTTCGGCTAGAGCCTTTACCACAGCATTATCAGACCTGTCGACTCTGGACATGAAGGATGCTATTCTCTTACGCTGAATAGCACTAAATGAATCGATAAGACTTTCTGTGAACATTTCTGAAGCACCGCAATAACGTTTTAGTTTCATTAGATGTCGAAAGATGATATTATAAGTTACTCGAAGGCCATCATGTGCTTTTTTCAGAGAGACAGAGATTTGCAGAGTTGACACGTATTGAAAAATTAAATCATTAAATCATACACTGTCCTACATATATAAGTATCGGTACCCAAAACTATTTAGCATCAAAACGAAATTTCCAATACCTTGATATACCGCTACTTTCAACCGCACTAGCGTAACCTGGAAGGGGTGGGGGGGGGGGGGGGGAATCTACTGAAGCGCACAAGGTCTGTCTCATTTGTCCCTTGTGATTATCTATATACTTATAATAAATCTGTAGGGAGGTAAATTCTGTACATGAAATATATTTCCAAAATAACAATCAGGGGGTGATTAGGGATCGATACTGATGCCAAAAATGCAATCAGTAAAATTTTTGTCTGTATGTCTGTATAACCGTTATAGAAACAAAAACTACTCGACGGATTTCAACGAAACTTGGTACAATTATTTTTCATACTCCTGAGCTGGTTATAGTATACTTTTCATCACGCTACAATCAATAGGAGCAGAGCAGTGAAGGCAAATGTTGGGAAAACGGGAGAAGTTACTCCATTTTTTAAGCTTCCGTCGCGTGTGCAACTTTAATGGTTAAAGCTACCCAGAAATCATGTATGACGGAAATGTTCTCCTTATAATTATATAAAAAATATCCCACGACAGCATATGTCTATCTTTTATGGTTGACTCACAATAACACGTGTAACTCCCGATAGCTTAGCAGTTCGAAGCTTTCTGATTGTATTTGTCTATTGTCTACTCTTACGTTTATAACACTCTCAGTCATCCCTAATTAAAAAAGTTAACAGTATTAAGTATTCCATAAAAAAGAATCATAGAAATCGATACAGAAACACCAAAGTTATACATGAAATACGCTGTTAATAAGCCATCGCGCGTGAATACTGAATCATGCCAGTATTTCATCTATACTAATATTATAAAGCTGAAGAGTTTGTTTGTTTGAACGCGCTAATCTCAGGAACTACTGGTACGAATTGAAAAATTATTTTTGTGTTGAATAGACCATTTATTGAGGAAGGCTTTAGGCTATATAACATTACGCTGCAACTATTGGGAGCGAAGAAAAAATGGAAAGCGCGGACGAAGTCGCTGGCGGTCACTAGTTGATAAATAATAATATATAATTTACCCTCATGGCGTCTTCGTGGCACTCGAATTCGACGTCGGCTTCACCCGACGGCCGGCCACTGTTGTCGTATAGTATATTTATGTTCGCGGGCCGGATTGGTTTGAAGAACTGAAATATATCGACTCTATAAGGACATGATTTTCAACATAATTATTAAAAATAATAACAAGCAACTAATTATTTATACTAATATAACAAAATTGAAAAACTTAATTGATTGCATCGGATAGACTTGCAGCTACTAGACTGATTAAAAATTCTTTCATCTATAGGAAGCTACTTCATACGGGGGTGACATAACATAAAATTTGCGCAGACGAAGTCTAGGGAAATGGCTATACTCCATTTATTATAACATTAGAAAAAAGAGGATCACAGAAGCAGCAGTGCAGAACATTTTATTTTCAAGATAAATTTTAAAAATATATATAAGTTTTTTTCAAACTTTGAACATTAGGGAGTCTGAAAGAGTTGGGCAATTTTCTTTTGCAATGAGCCTAGAATTTTCCAAATTAATCTTTTACTCCCAAAGCAATATGGAACTATAACAATGTATCCGTTGTTTTGATAAATTCTAATTGTAAATGTATAATTAGAATAAAATTAAGATATATTTATGCCTAGGAAAGAAAGGTAAACAAAATAAAATTTTTATTATTACTCTTATAACATTTATTCAGATATTATTAGATTATTGATTAAGATATTGCAAAAACTTCCTGAGATGTCAGAGGTATTTGAAATTTGTTAGAGTTATAGTGACATGAGAATCGTGCCGAGACTATCCAACCCTGCTTCTCTAGGTTCTTTAAGATGAACACTTTTTATTGTAAAAGTTATTAAATCTTTTAAGTTAGTCAAATACTCATCATTTTGTTTAACAGATAGTTTAAACGACGACTGTTAAATATAGCAGCCGGTACTTAAGTGGATATGTAGCAAATAAGCTGTCAGTCTTAAGAGTAACATGATTTTAAATATTATTTCACAAAGTATACCATAAAAAGAACCTTATTTAACTCCTGTCTAATGCTATAATGAATGGAGTGTAGTTGAGTAGAAACCAGAATATGTGTAACATTAAGAGCTCTAAATATTTGTTTCATTGGATTTTTTTCCCTTGGATTTTATCTTATTTATTAATATCAATTTTAATTAATGATTTCTTTGGATTTGATGAGATTTCAATTTGTTGTTATTTATTATGATTATATTAATGTTTTATGTCTAATTTACTCATTGCTATACATTATCTGTTTCTTGATTGTTATACAAATAAAAGGTTAATTATGTGTACCTAATATTAAGAATTATGGTCCTGTGTAATGTTTTATATATATTATTTTTTATTAAATATATGTCTGTAATTTGTTTTATATGCCAATAAATAAATAAATTACACAGTTGGTTAAGTTCAGTTTGCGTTAATTGTACAATATGGATAAAAACTAATATAGTGTCAATAAATCAATATGCAACGCTAAGAAAAAAACGCTAATAAATTGAAATAATTAATTATATCTCTACATATATATTCTACACTATCTTATATATACAATTAAGAGTCGTAGAGTAGAGTAGTATTGTGTCCGTGTGCGTGTGCGTGTACGTGTGCGTGCGCGTGTACGTACGTATGTGCATGTGCGTGTACGTGTACGTGTGCGTGTGCGTGCGCGTGTACGTACGTATGCGACGTCCTGCGGCGAGGCCTTGAAGGGCAGCCCGCGCATGTGCACGCAGTGCGCGCCGCGCGCCCCCCGCGCCCCGCCCCCGCCGCCCCCGCGCCCCAGCCCGCCGCCTTATCACAATACATCGACATCAGGAAAAATACAACGCTATCCCTAAAATTCACTATGTTTTCCATTTCTGAATGTAATCGTATCGCTTTTTATAGGATAAATTGATAAATATGAGACACTTTGTAGCCGAGGGCGTTGTGCGACACATTATAGATCGTTATAATTCGAGTCTAAATCAAAAACCGTTTTTGCACGATTCCCTATTCTCTGTCCCTGTCTATTTTATTCCATCGATTTTAATTATTTTATGCGCGTTGACTGGCTAAATACACTTCACTTACAGTCTTACATTTAAAAATTTAAAGACAGACAAATTAAAAACATCCGCCTACCATTTAGACGGATTGAATTTACAATAGATGATATCCTAAAAAATTAAGGCTCATTCACAACAAAAGTGGAGTATTTTTATATTTAGTTGTATTCACTGCATTAATATGGATTCTGTTTGTTATCAATAATACTCACCTCTGCCGAAAGATCCTCGTCCCCTGTTAAATCGTCCTGGGAACCGATCGTTTCTGTCGTAGGGCGTAGGCCTGTAGGAGCCACGGTTGGACCTGAACCCGCCGCCCTCCATCCGCGAGCCGTACGATCGCACTTCGTCCGCGTTACTCAGGAACACCTCTATGTACCTGTGGATCAACACACTGCATCAGAGTACAGAACAATCAAGACTGTGAATTATAAAACCCAACTAATATGATGCCTCGTGAATCTTAATTTACGCAGACCAACATATCTACTGAGTATTTGCACTTACATGGGTTTCTTTGGCATAGGATTGAATAAAACGCATTCGACGTTCAATACTATATTAGTAGTTATAGGGTGCGAGTTCAATAAAACACACTCCACATACAGCATTGAAAGTTTAGTGCATTTTGATTCAATTCGATGTCGAGGAAAGCAATGTAAGTATAACACTGTAGACTGAAATGACGAAAGAACGTATGATTAAATTTCCCGATATCTGACTATTAAACAAACTTTAATCTTTCAAATAAGCCTACAATTTTCGTTCTTTTAAATTTCATTTTCTGCATAAATACCTACATCTTCGAGCCATATTAGTTGAGTTTCACTGAAATGTAATGAAAAATGTGTGTTTAGTGTAGAACAGTGTGAATAAAAAAAGGAAATTAATTAATTGCCCTTATTTTTTCTATGATGAATGACAGACCATGGTGATCTACGATGATTAAATAAACGAAACAAACCGACACGAGTTTTACCCCAATCAGCTTGCTTTTCCAAGTCAGAATTATCTTATACTTTTTTATCATTCACGATATCTTATTACAATAGGTAACAGATAATCTCAAGTTATGCATAGTATAATCACCTAACATATCAAAACATTTGCATAAATGAGAAGTATCTATTTCATTATTAGAAATTATGATAAAATTACGATGAAATATAAAATAATAATACGTTAACATTAATCTAGAATGAAGTTCACCGAATGTCCCCATTTACCAGGACAACATTATGCCTGTTTACGCACCATAGTAATTCACTATTTCAACTATCAATGATATAATCACAACTGTTTGCAATGACTCAAAAATTTGCGGCATGTGTGAATCCATACTAATAAGTATTTAGCAGAACCAAATTATCTGTTTTTATGAAATGCAACATACGAATGTCCAATCTCTAAATTGAAAGTATTTGCTTATCTATATTGTATTTTTAAATGTAATGACTAAACTATTAAGTCAACTATTAGGGTGATTTATGATTAAATCCCTAAAATTTTATTCATGATCTATATATGTATTAATGGTTTTTCTTTATTTTTAGTAGGCTGGAAATAATAGAAATTAGGACGACGGAGTAAAGTCCATAGACAAATAGCAATAGACAATGTCCACTCGTAAGGATACCACACTCAAACACATTTAACTGGCGTTCGTCTTCCTCTTCCCCCTCCACGTCGCCTCCCGTCCCGGTCCCCGCTCCCCCTCGCTCGCCCCACCTTAGACACTTAACAACCAATTACCACTGCACTTGTTAACACTACCTCTATTTTGATACAACGTAATTTAATCCTTAGGTCATAGAAGTTAAGATGAACTTTGCTTTATATTAACTATAATATTACATGGTCATCTTTTATCTAATAACAAAATTTATATTGTTATTAGATATCCATTACAGACATGCCTGAAACTCATACCCTCAAGTAATAATATAACATAACTAGACAATTTAAACTATCCCTTTTTTGAACTAAACAAGTTAAATAATATGCATATTATATTACAACCTTGTTTCAAAGTCTTTTTTTTTTCTTATAAAGTGTTGTTGCAAAATAGTTTTTTATTTATTAGATAAAGCTACCCACACAAAATGTCAGTAGTAATTAAAAGTGCAGTATAGAATTTTTACATTATTGAAACTTTTAAATCTTTAATGAATCAATCCCATAATAAATCTAGATGCCCACCCGATTGTTGCTGGCCATTATAATGATTTACAGATCTATAAAAGTGGAATACCCAGATTATAACCTTTCTATGTTTTACCATAAACCATAAAGTTTACCAGCAACAAAGGAGGTCCCAAAACTTATCCCACTACACCATATCAGTACTGAGACCACAATTTGAATTTAAAGCTGCAGTAATAACATTTGCCGATGTATGTTATTATATTTATTGATGTTTTATGAAATTTATAACTAAATAAACAATAAAAATACTAATTAAAGAAATGTATTCTATATACTTTTTTTTTTTTTTTTTAAATATGTTGACATTAGTAAATTCTATAATTTGTGAAAAAAAATACCAAAGGATCAGGATTTAAAGTAAAAGCACAAAAAGTAGGTAAATTATCATTTTCATACCAATATTAAAGTGATTCTTAATATGAATCTTAAAGAAAATCACAAAGAAATAACTTTCTCTCTGGTTTGATATTTTGATATTTTAAACAATTTTACTATAGGAAATGTAAAAATCAATAATAACAAACATCATCAAAAGCCATTGCAGCAGCAGCCAACCACATGTGGTCCCATTTTAAATTATATCCCCCCACCTGTGTCCTATTTTCTCCCTGTCCCTGTTGAGAGCCTCCTGTGCGTGCCCCTTCTCAACGAAGTGAACGAACGCCTCTCCCGATGCCCGCCCCGTGTGGTCCGAGAGCAAGTGAACACCATCGGGTCCGACGCTCAGCCCTGGCACCCAAGGAGGTTAATAACACCGTGCAGGTGGCCATGGCATAACATTACAAGCAAACTACTTAATTTCAAACTATATAATATGCTATTACAACTTATGTATTGAATTTGGTGGTATTAAAAAGCAATTGAAAAGAATATATTTTCCTATTTAAATTAAATATGGTATATATTTATTTTATTTCAATGGTGATTATATTTAAAATAAGATTTTTTGATAGATATCATGAAATTCTGCCAATTATTATTTAACCTGCTTTTGAAAACATGTTAATATGAAAATTTTGAGACATCATTTTAAGATCAGTTGATCAATAATCAATATTTTTTTTTGTAAATTAGGGATGTCCTTTATTAATTTTGTAATTTGCTATATCTGAAAATCTGATACCATAGAAATTGATGCCTGTTTGAATACTTTTGCACCTTAGGGACTGATTAATTAATTAATACATTATTGTAATGCAACACCACAGCACACCTACACTATGTGACCCTATTCTTCCCCAAAGTTGACCAAAGCTATAGAAACATGAACTTACCATCAAAGAACTGTACGATTTCCTCCTTGGAACAGCCAAAGGGCAAGCCTCTCAGTTTGACAATCCCCGCATCATCTGTTACAGTTGGAAGGCTATCAAAGCCGTTCTCACTCTGACGCATTGCATTCAAAGCCCATTCCATGTCTTGGCGATCAGTTGAAAAAACTGTGGGTGAATTGTTAATAAATATTATTCATTTTTAAATTTCGAACTATGTAAGCAGTTACGGACTAGATATATGGTTAGCCTAATAATTGACTGAAATAAATTAATAAAGAATTAAATAATAATTGGTGAAACCAACTTAATCATTTAAGCATAATAAAATAGTGATGTTACAAAACATACTAGGTACCCTGATGCCTGAGTAATAGCATTACTAATACATAGATCTGATCAATTATTATTAAATATCTCAAAAAATATATAATAAATAATGATATTCCCAAGAATAAAGCTAGTACCTTCAATGTATCTCTTGCCCATATTCTCCTTATCCTTCTTAAGTGCTTCATCTACATCTTGCTGGCTCTCCACCTCGACAAAACACTCCCCTGATGGTCTACCTGGACGAACTTCTGTTAAATGAACACCTAAACAAAGACAATAGTATTTATAGTAAAAAAGGTTATTTAAATTTTATCTGGATTTTGCATCTTTACAGATATATATAATATTTAGAACAAATTTAATCTTTATAATTATTTGTAACAATATTTCTTTTGTCTGTTTGGGTAGATTACCTGAATGTTGATGAAAATACACTCTGTATTAGCGAAAAAGAAAGAATTGCTTGAGAAATTCGTCAGTCCAGTTAGATCCTGGGTAGCTCAGTGGTTAGAGCAGTCGACCAGATTGCGAAAGGTCATGAGCTTTATATGGGTTTATAGTTTTTGCTCTTTGAACTCATGGGATTATGATTTTAAAAATAATGCCAAGCGCACTGCGCCCTAAAAAGGTATGTAATTCGGCGCTAAACTGACTTTTCTATTTATAGAACAGTAACATCTTGTCCGACAAAGAAACCATACTGTAAAAATTAATAGGATTTACCCATTTAATAAACTCAGCTTACCTGATTTTCCATTCAAGACATTAACATTGGTTAGGAAATCGAGGACATCTTCCACTCTTGTGGAGAAAGGCAAACCACGTAATTTTACGATGAAGCTGTTGTCGCCAGAACCCAACATTCTCTTTTAAATGGTTTCAAAACTTCACAGATAGAATATTACACTATTTTCGCTAAAATACTAATAGAATCAAAATCTGCAAAAATAAACGGAGACTAATAGTATAACTTCTTTGAGACTATTTATTTACCCACGCAACAAAATCGGCGTCGGCCATTGACATAGAGAAAAATTTTAAACGCCATGCCATGCGTGCATGCTAAATATCGATACGTATCGATATCGAAGAAACAGTGATATCGTAGTGAGGAAGCGTTTAAAAAATAAAAATTAGTTCTTGAAATCAAACTAGATGTCACAAGCGAATTTCAAATAATTGTCTATGATATTCATTCAAATTTTAAAAGATAATAAAAGTAAACTGAGTATCAAAATTAATAAATATGATATAGTTTCGTGTTTCTTATAATACTTAACTTTCAAGGTTTGAATGAAGAACAAAAAGCGTAACCGAGAATTCAGCTTATTTTTTATATGCAGTATTTCCATATGTGCTATTATGCATCCACACGTCGAATGATATATTTTTTTTTTATGGGATAGGGGGCAGACGAGCAGACGGATCACCTTATGGTAGGTGATTACTGTCGCACATGGATACCTCCAACACCGCACAGTGGACAGTGGTTGGAGGTCCTCAACCATCCAAATGATGAGCGTGGATTTCTTGTCACATGGAACGATGGCGGAAAGTAGCGGCTGGTATGAGTCCGAACAATTCCTCGGAGCATTCCCCGTATTATGTATGTGGGGTCAATAAATAAATGCCTTTTTTTTTGTATTTTGCATAGTGAAGCAACATCTTTACGCAGGGCTAGTGGATTAACCCGACTTGAAGTGTCCCGGCAATCGACGATTCGAGTCGCTCTCCGCTGAATGCGGTCTAGAAGGAGAAGCTGGTATTAGGGCCCAAAGATGAGAACAGTATTTGAAATGGGGCCGAACTTGCGCCTTGTAAAGCTGCAAGCGATGTGCTGGAGTGAAATACTGCTTTGATCTATTAAGCACACCGAGCTTCTTAGATGCTAATTTAGCCTTTCCCTCTAAGTGACCACGGAATTGACCGATAATCTTGGAACCTCGCTCGATATGTCGACACCAAAATCTCAATATTGGCTGAGGCAGTTAGGGGAATGTTTTGAAAGCGAGGTGATACGACAAATGGGGCTTTTTTGGCTGTGAACGCGCAAACCTTAGTAGGGTTGAAATGGACCAAATTAAGTCGACCCCAGTTAGAGACTTCCTCTAACGAAAATTCAATAACAGACTCAAGTTGATTCCTACTCTCAATAATTCTTTCCCGAGAAATACTTCCAAGACCGTCCATCGTGCTGTCATCTGCATAACAATGAATACCGCTAATCTGCAGCATGTCATTAATATGCAGAAGAAAAAGTATAGGTGATAATACACATCCTTGGAGAACACCAGCATTTATAGATAGTAGGTCTGAGCATTCACCGTCGATTAAAACCTTAATGATTCTGTCTGCCAAAAAACTAGTGGCCCATGCACATAATTTCTCGGGAAGCCCATACGAGGGAAATTTTGATAGAAGAGTTTTGTGCCACATTCGATCGAAGGCTTTCGCTATGTCCAAACTTACTGCCAGGGCCTCCCTTTTGTTTCAACTGCCTTAGCCCATTTATATGTCAAGTAAACAAGAAGATCGCCAGCAGAGCGACCACTATGAAATCCGTATTGTTGGTCACTAAGCAACTGGCGATCCTCTAGGACCCGAAGGAGCTGGCGGTTGATAATGGACTCCATTATCTTTGACAGCAAAGGGGTTACAGCGATCGGCCTGTAGATGGACGGGTTTGAGCGGTCATCTTTTTTTGGGATCGGATGCACTAAAGCAGTCTTCCATGAGGTTGGGACGACGCCCGATGAGTAAGAGAGCCGAAATAGGCGCGTTAAGACCGGTGCCAACTTTGTAGCGCACGTCCTTAGCACAATAGAGGGGATACCATCGGGCCCACTCGACTTGTGGATATCCAAAGAGAGTAGCGCTAGACGCAGCTTTGGTGAAACATTGAGTGGTGAAAAGTTGAGTTGGATGCAAAAACTTACCCAGGAGATCGGCTTTCTCTGTTGCATCATGGGCTAATGATAAGTTATCTTTGTGCAAGGGTGGAATTGAAGGCATGCAGAAATTACCTTGAATAGATTTGGTAAGAGAACAGAAAGCACGCGTCCCCGAAGGAAGACGTTCAAGCTTCTCGTCAATTTTACTGATGTACTTCGCTTTCGCTAATATAAATATCAAAATCAATTCAGCCTAGACTGTTACATACTTGTGACAGTCGATAACTATGCCAACGGTTCGCAAAACTACTGCGCGAGACGTTGTACTAAGAAGAACTGGCTAGAAACTCAGTAAAGGTTGCTTTTTTCTGAAAACTAAATAACAATTACCAATTTAATAATAAACTTAAAAATGTTGGTTGAATTTGCGAAAAATAAATTAAAGCAGTTTTTTCACGATTGACATTATCGTACATTATCTATAAGTAAATTTCGTTATGTTAGCATTATTTTGATATGAATAAATCGGTATGTTGATAAATGAGTATAGCACAAAAAACCAAAACAAAGCACCTACTCTCGGGAGTAATCTGAAGTGCATTCCGATCTCCAGTTAACGGCAAAATGGCCGACTAAGTTAGGCTTCCTACACGTGGTACTTGGCTTTATTTTTATTATAAAACTCATAATGTAAATTTTTAATATGTTTTTAAACAACGCATTTTTATTATTTTAATTAATTTATTAGATTTAACTTTTTTATTAATTTTTTATTCTATGAATAGTTCCTACTTAAATAAAACAGATTGCAAAATTTACACTATTATTAAAGTAACTACAGACTTCACGGAAGTAAGCTGTTCAATCTGCTGTTCTTAAATATAAAAGATACAGTGATTTTGGTCTAAAAGAAATTTATGATTATTATATTTCATAAATTAAACGAATTTGATTTAATAAAAAGAAGTTTTTTTTAATTACTTAAAATTTAAAAATATCTATATATCGCATTAGTGAAGCAATATAATCGATATCGAATGGAATCGATATGTATAGATGACAATATATCGATAATTTTGTAAAACCTTTATTCCTATAGTTTCACTTTTAAAAGCCACCACACTGGTTGCCACAAATGGTTGAACGACTTTGGATGAAATCTGGGGCAGAGATAAACTCTAGAAAACCATGTAAGCTATTTTTATCTGGGAAAATTGTGCAATTCGTGGGTATTATATATTTTTCGAGTGCACTATATTTTTTCATATTTGTCTCATCAAACCTCGTCTGGAGAGGACATTTTAACGATATCCATTAGTTGAATGTCTGACTTACATATGTGTACCAGATGTCAACCCAACGGCTCAGTAGTTTTGTAGAAAATTGGCTGTGATAGACAGATACCTTTTGAGATTCGGAACCGTATAACAAAACAAGTCACTTCCAATAGTGACATATAATAGTTTACCGTATATGTGGAAGCTACGGTTAAAGTTTAATTATTAAAATAAATAACAATATAATCTTGTTTTCTTTTCAATAGTATTGTTGGCTAAGTGCGAGTGGGACTCGCGTACGTAAGGTTCCGTACGGAAAAAAGCAAAAAGATCACGTTTGTTATATGGAAGTCCCGTATTTGTTTTGTTCTGTTTTTTTAAATTATTATTGTATTTATTTTTATAGTGGCAACATAAATAGATCTGTGAAAATATCACCTGTCTAATTATGACTGTTCATGAGATACAGCCTAGTGACAGCAAAAAATTATCTTGAGGCAACTACAAAAATGAATGAGGATCTAAATGCTGTTGTGTGGGCAGCGGATAATGGCTTAGTACTGAATTCTAGCAAAACTTAATATATGTTTGGTTTGGTTCAAAGTCACAAGTTTGCAAGATCATAAAATAATAAGCTAAATATTAAAGTTACAGAGCAACACATTGACCAAATATAAGAGGCTAGGAACTTGGACATATTTATAGATAGTTATTCACGATTTGAAACTCATGTATTGAATTTGGGTAGAAACTGCTTTTATCGGCTGAAAGTACTTTAAAAGATTCGCAATCTTTTTTACGAAAAATTTTGTATAAATATGCGAGTCATTAATACTAACAAAACTTTATTCTGATGATCTTGTATGTTCCACGCCTGCTTTCAAGAGCTCGTCGTCTTTTACAGTGAGTGCAGAAAGCCTGTTATCATTTCTGTCTACTTACTTAAAACCATTACATCCTATTTGAATAATACGGCTTCGATGTTAAATTTTAACACAGCCGAGATAATATTTATATTTTTTCTGTTTAAATATTTATATCTTAACAATTGTAAATCAGAATATGTTATCATAACGCAAATAAAGTTTATTATTATAAATATTAAAAAAATCACCTTCCTTAAATGTTTTTTTAATATTTGATGTATAGCGGCAATAGAAATACATCATCTGTGAATATTTTAACTGTCTAACTATCACGGTTTGTGAGATACAGCCTGGTGAGAGACGGATAGATGGACGGCGTAGTCTTAATACTAGTGTCCCGTTTTACCCTTTGGGTACAGAACCCTAAAAAGAGTTGACATACAGATTAATATTAAATAAAAAACAACAGATAAACAAAATTAATAAATCATAAATACTGAGTAGAATCTAAAAAAGGGCTTTAACGAAATTTATTATGGCAGTGAGTATATACTGAGTGCTTACCCATCCCTACGAACGACCATGCTTAGTTGCCAACCATCAATGTCACTTGGTTTCCAATCATGATTTTTTTTAACGTCAGAACTATTCTCTATGTCTGCATCAATGTATTATCTATGGTCTGCCTGAATTGTCTGTCTGGAAACTCTTAAGGCGGGAGGTTCAACTTTTTCTTTTAAATAATAATTATTTAATTTTTATTGTTAAACTCAAAGTAAACTTCACTTATATTAATTACTGAAAGTTGACAATGGGTTCAGATAGTGGAGGCAGCGAGCCTACACATGGTAAAAAAAAAAGAAAAGCAAGTCCTCTGGTGGACTTTTCTGATGATGATGAAGATGTAAAACATGCACCATACTTCAAGAAAAATCACATACGGAGCTACCCTGAGAATTCTCCAGGCACAGTATTTCCAGTTTATATACAAA